AGAATTGCATTGTAAGGCTTGATTTAACACTATTATAGTTTCCCTCCTTCTATTCAATCATGTCTTAATTTTTGGTGACTAGACAAATCCCCACAGTTTTCCTGGCAAGATTGTTTAGAAATAGTTTGTCATTTCATCTTTCCTAAGGCTAAGAAAAAGTGACTAAAGTCACCCAGCTGGCTTTATACCCAAGTTGGAAATAAAACTCTCAGTTTTTAACCTGATGCTTTAACCACTGCGCTAAACTGTTTCTTATTACAAATATTACAGAATACCAAATACAAAGGCTGACTGACAGTATCAATACAAAACAGACCATGTGACTACTTACCAACTGGTGTTTCTAATCTAATTAATGGAATGGTTTTACAATATATTTATCCTCAACAATTTAGATGGTGTTAGTATAATATGGGAATAATTAACCAATTTGTAAAATGGAAGAAAATTACTAATCAAATATCTAAAAATGTTGCCAATAATCACAATATTTTGTATTACCTTGCATTCAGAAATAACTATCCCTTTAGAATAAAGAATCAATGCTTGATACTTAAAAAAAACAGAATTTTATAAGTGATCTTTTACAATAAATATTAATTTATTATAATTTAATGGAAAAACATGTACTTAAAAAAAGTTTTAATCATTTGTAGTACTCTTTCATAGGATATCCCCATGCAAGTGGAAACAGCAACATTTTCTTTTTTCTTGGTTACTCACTTTTCACCTGTTTATTTGCTTCTCACCATCAATACAAAAAATCATAGCATTATTCCAAATACTTTATCCATACCATTAATGACTTGGTGAATGATTATTTCAAGATGGTAGCGACTATATTTCAGATTATCACTTTGCTCTCAAGCCAACATACTTAAGAGGACTGATTATGATCTTCTGAAGGAGAGGAACTGTTTGATGCCCATATAAAATGATTTTGCTCAAAGTGTTCTGTAGCAGAAAAAAAGCCTAAATCTTTAAACTGGAGTAATCCCAAACTCTGTTTCTTTCCATGAAGAAGGAAGTGCTATTTTCCACACAAAGGAGCAGAGTCCCTAAATCAATTCTGCAGTCTACTAATTTACTTTATACTGCACCCATAACATAAATTTTGGAATACAATTTTTTCCAGTGCCTAAATGAACAACTAAGCAAATGCAACAGAGGAAACTTTGGTTTTTTTCCCCTTTTGAATATTTTGTAAAGCAAGGTAAACAAAAACCAAAAATACTGCTTTATATTGCGCTTTTATCTATAATATAGAGATAATCACCTATTCTTGCTTAATTAGATACGTTCAAAAGATTTTTTCCCCCTTGGATTCAAATTTAATTACTATGCCTGGTTACTTCTGCACTATACTGTGTAGTTCTTTGCGTATGATTTCAAAAAGGCACTTTTTGAACATGCAAATGTGCAAATATACCACCTGCACACAACTCCTTAAAATGATAACATCATTTCCTAGGTCCACACAACTGACCCTCTGAGGCTACTTTCACACTACTGTTCACTCTAAAATATCACAATAGAATTGAATCTGAAGCATTGCAGAGTCCTATTATTTGAATAAATATTATACATTCTACTAAGAGAGACACTTGATTCAAAAATTGTGCAGAACAGGAGTATAGGAATGTATTTCAGGTATGAAATATCTAGTGATTAAAAATAGCCTTCCAGGAAAGTTGAGAGATTATGAAAAATGTTGCATTTTGAAAACTAAGGTCAATTTATGAGAATGTGTTTAAGAGAACAGAAGTTATTTCTAATGTAAAAAACACAAGCACATCCTTCGAACAATGCCTAACCTTTGGTTTCCCCTTTGCAAAAGTCATAATTCAATTACACATAACTTAATAAAGTATATTAATTTTCTTGATATGTTTATTTGTTAAGATTTTTACCTTGCCTTAATTTTTTGGGAAGTAACTCAAGGCAGAGAACATACCATATATTACTTCCTTCTCTTATTTTCCCCACAACAACCACCCTGTGAGGTGGGTTGGGCTGAGAGAAAGTGATTGTCCCAAGTCACCCAGTCAGTTTTCATGCTTAAGGTGAGACTAGGACTCACAATGTATTGCTTTCTAGACCAGCATCTTAACTACTATTCCAAACTGGCTCTCCATATAAACAGCATGGCTCCCTGTGTTCCTTGACATTAAAACAATGGCTACAGAAATAACCGTATTCAGGTCTTTTCCCGTGTAAGATTGAGAGTATCTTGGCAACATTTCGACAAGGGTCCACTCGCCATCTTCAGGCTGGTGCCTTCGGCTTCGTACTTGTGCGAGCAAAGCGTGATCAGAGCTGCCGTCTTTCTATAAATATTGGTGCGTGTGTGTGGAATGCTGGCTTTGTTGCTGTAAGTGGATTGGTTGGCTGTGTTGTAACATCTTGATTAGTTGATGGAGTTGATGTTTGCACATTAGTCGGCTGTTTCGTAACATCCTGTGTGGCTGAGGTACTGGCTGTGTGCCTATTGTTCTTTTATGTTGTAACAACCTGGGTAATGGGCTGCGTGATGACATCCTGAACTCTATTGTAGTGATCTCCTGAGTCCTGTGCTGCAACCTCCTGGGGAGTTGGCTGCGTTGCAACATCCTGAGCCTTTATGTTGTAATCTCCTGAGTTCTGTGATGCAATGTCCTGAGCAGATGGCTGAGGTGTAACATCCCGGGCTTTGGTTTGGCTCCGAGTTTGCGGTCTGGCCATGTGTTCTGTTCATGGCGTGTGTCATTTTACTTTGTCTGGGGGTCAGAGGGGAGTGCAGCAGTTGGTGATGCTGCCGTGGTTTGGCTTCTGGATGGTGGTTGCGTTTGGTCTATGGGATGGTTTTGGGTTTGAGTCGGGTGAGGGTGATTGGTGTCCTATGTTGTTCTTGTTTGTTGACTAGGGCGAGTTTCCAGATGTCTGGTAGGCAGGAGATATCATCACGTTTATTCATGTTGTGGGTTGTTTCTCTATTTCGATGGCTTCCATAATTGTTCTCTTTTTGAAGTGTTCAGTTTTGGAGATTAACCTGGTTCTTTCAAAATCAATTTAATGTCCTGTTGCTTTAAGGTGCTGGAAGAGGGAGGAAGTTTTTTCTTCTTTTCTAACTGTGTTCTTGTGTTCTTCGATGCGTGCATTTATTCTCCTATTAGTTTAGCCAACGTATGTGGCTGGGCAGATTTTGCATGGTATTTCATAGACTCCTTGGTTTTCTAGCTGGATCTTGTCTTTGGGGTTTCTTAAGATGTTGGCTATTTTTTGGTCAGTGCAGAAGGCTGTCTTGATATTGTGTTTGTGGAGAATTTTGCTGATTTTATCTGTGNGAGAGAGAGAGAGAGAGAGAGAGAGAGAGAGAGAGATACGGATACACAGTTGGACAGATAATCACAGGGACTAAAACTATGTAGAGGGAATTATAAATTAATTGTTATTTGAAAACAATACTAAGTCCAATGAGCTTTATCAGAGTTAAGTTCGCTTTAGACTGCAAATGTGAGATTCCATTCCAACAATTATTTACTAAAAAATAAGTCTTGCTGTTTTCAACGATGTTACTTCCTCCACCAAAGTGTGTCTAGGATGGCAATCCTAGCCTGGTTCTGTGCCCCAAAAGCAGGATTAACTATCTTCAAGGCATCTATTCATCAGTCTGAAGGTGTATACAAACAGGCTTTTAGTTTACTCTAAAAAGGGACAGAAACACAAATAAAGATGCCAGGTCATCAGTATAAATAAGACTAACTTATTTAAATCAAAATGTGCTTTCCTTTTTTTAAAAGCTTGCTCTTTAGTAAGTAAATGCATTATTTAAAAATGGGTATCTTCAATTGGAAATTGTAATGTCCTTAGGTATCACGACAGTACTGACCATGTCTACCATCATCACTGGTGTCAATGCCTCCATGCCTCGAGTTTCCTACATCAAAGCTGTGGACATTTACCTCTGGGTCAGTTTTGTGTTTGTCTTCCTCTCAGTATTAGAGTATGCTGCAGTGAATTACCTGACCACAGTGCAAGAGAGAAAAGAAAGGAAGCAATGCGAGAAGGTAAATGTTACTGTCAAAAGGAACTAGGGGGGAACAACTGAGACATTCATGTGAATCCTTGTTGCTCTCTGACCTTGGTTGTTTCTTTGCAGACATTTCATTATCCAACTAGATAACATCATCAGTGCTAGAAGGGAGTGGAACTCTAGCACTGACGATATATCCTAGTCGGGTAATAAAACATCTGCAAGAAAACAACAATGCTCAGAGAGCACCAAGGACCCCACAATTCAACCCTAACCTTCAAATATTCTGTTACTTTGGTAAGATATTACTATAGAAGCATAAAATATTTTTAAATAATCTAAATATTTAAATTTAAAACAAAGAAATATATAATTATGGCAGGAACTGACCTTAACCAATAGATGTAGTTATGTCGATTTGAATGTCATTCCTTCTCTTTCCTCTGCAGTTTTCTGGTGCTTCTGCAATCCCACAGCCAAAGCAAATGACAGGGATGGAAGGCAGCTACAGTGATGGAGAAGTAAATGAATTAGGGCAATATGTGTCTGAAAATGGAGGCAAAGAAGACAGAATGATGGTCCAGTTGGGTCTTGGATCAGAAGGAAATTCAAATAGGAGGAAAATCCAGAGATATAGCAGCATGAGAATTGACACTCATGCCATTGACAAGTATTCCAGAATAATATTTCCAGGATCATACATTTTATTTAATTTGATATACTGGTCCATTTTTTCATAGTTCTTTTTTCTGTAGCTATTTTTTATGTGCTTGCAACAATATCATGCATCAATTATCAAGTAAATTTGAAAGTGGAAACTGAATGTTCTTCGTTCTTCCTGATAAAGTTTGGTACTTAATATGAATATCACTTAAATAGCTCTCCTGTTCATTTTCTTGTGATTTCAATGGGAAATAGCAAAGAGAAGAGAAAAGCCTACCTTTTGCAAAGGGGATTCTTTGAACAGGGTTTGCATTTTAAAAGACTTGTACTAAATTACTAAAGGACAAAAGAAGGCAAGAAGATACTTTAAAGTTCTCCTTTGAAACTTCTGATTATGGAATTTTTATTTCAGCTACAGAAATGGACTATATTTTAATTTTTTTTTCAGTTGTAAATATATTATGTGCCATTAAGTCATTATTGATTCTTAACCACCATATAGGTACCAGGACGATTTATCTCCAATCTGGCCCATCAGATCTTCAAATAATGTACCCATTGCCAGTTTGAGTCTATTCACTTTGCTGCTGATTGTCCTCTTTTTCTCTGTCTTCTTACATTTCCCAAAATTATTAACCTTAAAATGTGAGCTTGGTGATTTTTTGTTTTCAATAGGAAGTTTGCACTGATTTGTTCTATGATCAATTAGTTTTCTGGCTACTCACCGTATTCTCAGAAGTCGTCTCCTACACCAAAGTTCAAAAGCATCGATATTATTATTTTTTAAATCATAAATTAAAAATCTCTTTGTAGATAAATTACAAATGTAGATACTCTACAGCTACTCTACAAGATTTAATAATCTTAAAAGAAGTGTAGATGTTAAGCTTGTATTTATTTCGCTTAGAATTTTCTGCCTTAGTAAAGAAAATATTTTTTGATACCTAAAAGTATTATGGCATGTTAGAAAAACATTTTATGAAGGCCATTTAATGAATTACCAATACTGCTGGTGCCTAAATTGAATGAGGTTTTTTTTTGTTTAAATCAACGAATCTGACATTTTAAAGGAGACAGAGATATATATAAAAAAATGGCATCAGCTTTGTGGATTACTCTGATGCATCTTATGGGATTATTGTAAGCAGTATCACAGATGACATGTTCTACTTAATTGAATCCTTTTTTTTTACTACAATGCCCTATGGCAAGGGTGATGAACCTGTGACCATATAAATGCTGAACTACATTTCCCAACTTCCTCGGGGACTGGGATTGTTGGGATCCACTGGCACATGGAATGTCATAATTCCCTATTTCTGATTCCCAGAAATTTGTCAGCTTAACTATAGGTCATGAATATTTAAAACTCTGTAATAGAATTATGTATTCTGATTCTAGCAGAAGGGTTCCTTCTATGAATATGAGGTTTTTGAGCAACAACGGAGGAAACAGCGATAGGGTGGCAGAGATCATTGTTGCACTGAACAACATTTTTCCAACTAAAGAAGCAGCTGTTTAATCTCCAAGCTTTCCATTGGATATATCACATGACCTTAAATATAAAGAAATATTGTTTACATGTTAATTAAAAATTAAGGTGATGAATTGAATTTTATGTAAGCATTAAAACAGAAGCTAGTATTTTCTTCTAACCAACTTTCAAATAAATAAAGGTTTTTATGAAGATATCACAATCCTTATGTTTCAAATCCAGGTGGGTTTTGAAACATTAAAAAACACTTTTGTTTTTGGTGGGGTTTTCTTCTTTTTTGCTGGAAGACCTGTTAAAAGTTTAAGAAAGAGCAATAAGGTAATTAACACTTTGGAAGAGCTAGAGCCAAGCAGGTGAATGGTTCCCAATTTAGACTTACTTTTCACTTGTAGAAATGGCAGAAACATCATAAGGACATGAACATACGCAAAATGTCTATACATGTCTGCATAGACATTTAATAAAATAGATCCAGAAGATTTAACTTTCCGTTCAAGCTTTTAAGATTTCTATATTAGATGCAATCCTGTAAGAATCTTCAACCCTTCAGTGATAAGTAACGAATAATGAAACCTAGCAGATTTATGCAAAATTATTAATTGAAAATATAATGTTGTTGGCATAGAATTTTAATTATCTAAATGCAAAATTTCTATTTGTTTAATTTCCATAACACTGACTTGTACACATGGACCTGGCAGGTAAGTTTTTTAAAAACCAAAAATATTTGTATAAAGATCAGAATTTACTCTCTCACATTTCTTTTTCTACTAAGAGCTTTGCTGGTCTGAAACTTTGTTCCTATAAGCTTGGTACAAAAATTATATTTATTGCAGTCATTGCCATAATGTTTTAGTTGTCTCCAAGGGATATCTATATACTTCTGACACTGAAGATAAATCAAAATATAAACTAAATATACCAACAGAAGAGAATATTTTAGCTCAGGGTTGAATTGTGGAATCTGTATTACCATTTTCTTGCAGATGTTTCATTACCCAATGAAGAGTGAAAATGTATAGTTTTGCACTTTAATGTCTTTCATTAGCCTTTCAGACAAACAGAAATATGATGCTCAAATGAAACTGAATTAACATGACTTATCAGCAGGCTGAATGAATGTATGGTTCAAAGCAACTGAACCAATATTAAATAGGAATTAATTTCAGGAATACCATAGAAAACATTCCCCAAATCAGTGGAACTGCTTTATTTTAAAAACAAAGCAAATGGATTCAAATTGCCTGAGCTGTTTAAACCCATGGGAAACAAAGTCCAACATCTGGAATAAGAAACATTATTTTCCTGATTTAGTAGCAAGACCTGTTTATATTAACGTCAATGAAATTGTATTTTTCTGAGCAATAGATTTATTGGATGTTACCTGAAGTCATTGACACCTATACATTGTAGGGAAAAAAACAATTCAAGTCTTTAATAAAGAAATAATTTTTTAAAAAGCATCTCAAGGGATTGTAAAAAAAATTCCTAGTACACATGCTTTCTTATCTCCAGCAAATAAGTGAATTATGAGTCATCAAGTAATTTTTAATTCCTAGAAACCATATAGATTTTTATGCATAATTTTTATTGAAAAAAATTATACAGATAAAAGATATACATGAAAAAATATATATAAAAGTTAAAAAGTGGGGGAAAAAAACAATAAAGAAAAAAAACTAAAGAAGCAACTTCTGAGTAGCAGTTACAAATAAAGTTATTATCCCTCTTCTATTTTTTTGGTCATCTTCTTCTTTTTCCCACCACTTTTTTAGCATTAGAGTCTTCTCCACAGAGTTAGGTCTTCACCTAATAGGAACCAATTATACCAATTTGAGCTTGAATCATAGAAAAAGTATTTTATTTCAGCACAAAAATGTTTTGTTTAGAGCATTCCAAAGAATTCAGAATTGCCCTGCCAATGGCAGACTAATAAGTCAGAGGGAATTATGCTTGCCCATCTTCATATATTTGTGAATTTTCTCTTTCTCTTACACACATATAGAATAACCATAAGAGGAATAACTGCTATAAATGTTTCCCAGGTTTGGGGATGTGGTGAAAAATGGTGGGCTTAGGTGCCTTCATATGCAAAATTCATTTCCAGATATTGATTGCCTATCTCATCTCATATATTTAACATATGGAGCAGCTTGTCCTCCGATACAGAGAGACATTTCATTTTCTGTGTTCAGAATTCTTTCTTACCTTGGCGAAAGAGAACAGACTACCCTATATGGCCTATGTCTGGTTATCTGGCATAATAAATTACACTATTGAACATGTTTGCTTTCTTTATTGAAAGAATGAGTAGGACTCCCATGATTTTCACACGTTAACAATCAAAAGTCTGTCTTACCAATGAAGCAGCATATACAGCTTTGTTAGGAAACTCCATACCAATGCTCTCTATTTTCAAAGCTTTTTTTCTGAAGCACATTGTAAAAATCTGGATAGCTGCTGTAGAACTCTACTTAAAAAATTACAATAGAACCACATACGGTGATAAAATGTCTCAGAATCAAAACATACATTCTAAATTAAACTAGAATTAAAGAGTTTTGCAAATCATTTTTAATCAGATTTTTTTTATTGAGACAGATCCCTTTGGTCACACAACTAGACGACCATGATTAAGATTAATTTATCTGACCAAAATACTCAATTTCCAAGTACCACAAAGGAACCTTTCTGAAGCTACAAAAATATGTAACCCGAATAGTGGATTAATCATGTCTAGAGTAGAAAGACCTGTGTAGTGTTGTGGTTAAGATGCTGGATTAAGAGCAAAAGGTCCAAGGTTATTTAGCTTATCATTCTTTCTCAGCCAAACTCCCTCTAAGGATGTTCTGGGCGGAAATAGGACAGAGCATTACATACACTGACTTCAGCTCTCGGATAAAAAGAGGATATAATCAAATAAAGACTATACAAGCAATGAATGATACTAATTACCTCTCTCAGTAAGCCAAATTTGTTTACCTTTCTGCCTTACTATTATAAATGAAATACCATTAATTTAGTACTAGTGTCAGCAAAAAGACTGTGGATTATTATAATAATATCGCAAAGTCTTTCAGATAACCAAGACATATTCTTTGAAGTCTGTGGATATAGTTGTAGCCTTAAATTAGCCAAGCTTTTTTTTTTTTTTTACAAAGCAGTGAATATATTCAGTGGTGAAATTCAAAAATTTTACTACCAGTTCTATGGGCATGGCTTGGTAGGTGTGGCAGGGGAAGGATATTGCAAAATCTCCATTCCCATCCCACTCTGGGACCAGAGGTGGTATTTGCCAGTTCTCCAAACTACTCAAAATGTCTGCTACCGGTTCTCCAGAACCTGCTGAATTTCACCCCTGCATATATTGTAACAGGAGTTTCAATCAGGGGTGGGTTCCTGCCAGTTCTAACCTCTTCTATAGAAGAGGTTCCATGAATCTACTGTGCCGTTTAGAACCGGTTCCAGACTCCAGGTAAAGGATGAGAATGGGTGGGTGAGATAGCNCTAATGGAATGCCATTATGTGGCTTTGCTTTAAATCTGGAATATTTTATATAAAAGGATGTAAAAACAATTATAGTCAAATGAAGGTTGAGGTATGATGATAGTAATATATATAAATATATTTGATTTAAAATATATTATATGATATGAATTGTAGGTGATGACTGTGGAAGGGATGCACAGAGGTTTTTGTACACTTTCTACAACTTGTAATGGAAGATGGTTTTGTGTTTTTGTGTGTGTGTGTGTTTTGTCTGTTTGTGTTTATTCAAAAATAAAAAAAATATTTATATAAAAAAAATAAAAAGGGGTTATATACTTACCTGTTAACTCATTTAAATTGTCATCAGAAATGAAGTCTATGCCAAGCTTCTTGCCATTTTCTTTGTAAATTTTTTGTAGTGTCTTATTAGGAAGCACATTGTAGAAATCGGCTTCACTATCTTGTAATTCCACCTAGACATGAAAAAAAATATTTGGAAATATCAGGCCATAGGAAATAAAGAGCTTATTATTCAATCCTAGGCACATTTAACTCAGAAAACAACCCTAACATACTCAACAATAAAATTTAAATCTTTTACATATATACTTGAAATTAAACCATAGTTAATATAATTGGAAATCCACCCTTTTTATACTATAGGGATAAAAATTCTGATTGTGAGAATTGTGGTTCCTTCCAAAATAGCACCGGCTCTTGAATGGCATAAAGCAGCCTCTGCCACTCACAAAATGGCACCCACTCTGGGATGCAATGATGTGGTCTCTGTATAGGAAACCATGTGTCAAATTAGCTGTTTTTCTTTCCAAAAGTGATCTTCAGAGATTGCAGAAAGAAAATCAGCCAATTAGCCTCATGGTGCCATCACAGGAGGAGATACCATTTCAGAAGCAGCAGCAATTCTCAGATCACAAAAACTGCAGTCAAATTCAAAATTCTGCTTCCAGAATGGCACCATGTGGCTTCTGTATAGGAAGGACATGCACCATATTGGTTGGTTCTCCTTGGAAAAGGGGATCTTTAAGTGGAACAAGTGTGATGGGGAGAGGAGACCCAGTGATGTGGGACCCTGCCAGGTTGGAAGTAGGCCCTAGGGACCCAGTGGGGCAGGAAGGGGAGCAAGATAGGTGGATGGGGCAGGTGCAGCATCCCTGCGGCCAGTCATAAGGATTGCCAAGTGCCTGAATTTTATTCATGTGATGATGGAAGCAATGCAGTGGCCATAATTTTGGGTACAGTTTGTCAATCACATCATTCAGTGTCATCATAATTTTGAATGATCACTGAACAAATGTTCTAAGTCAAGTACTATCTGAATATAGAATAATGGAAATTGTGGATATCAGTTAAATAACTGAGTTTGAGTTAATAATTTATGATTTTGCCAAAACAGATACAATTAATTATAGTAGTAGTTACAAAGCACTTTTTAGCCACCTCTTCCCTACATAGTACGGTAGTTTTGATCAGTACGTGAACTATTCACAAATACCATTATACAAAAGGCAAATTTTACATTGCACTGCTATTCTTTCAACTCAAATAATCCATGTTTTAAAAAAAAACAGTTTATATTATTCTTCGGAAAAGTTATCCAGCAGTCTTACTTCACACCCAGTTGCTAGACCTGCAGCTTTAAAACAATTCCTTGCTTTCTCCTTTAAGGTAGAGAGTTCCCTTAAGGAAGGAGCACGCAAGTAAAATTCTAATTCAGTGTAAGAAGGGATGATATTAGGCTTCACACCTCCATTCTTTATTATTCCTGCAATGAAGAAGAAATAGTTTGAAATTAGTTTGGCACTTAAGTTTTCTGAGGCTTATTGCAAAACTGCTAAACAGAAAAGTCCTAACTTGATCCAAGGCTCTCTGCTTTGCCAGTAGATTAATGACAACTTACACTGAAGACACTCTGGCACTAAAGAAAAGCAATGGAAATCTGAAAATCAAAATCAGGAGTTTCCACTTTCTGCTGTATTCCTCTGTTGATTATTTGTTGCTCTTAAAATTGAAAAAAAACACCGCTCATCCTATACCGAGCAGAGCCAAATAAGAAATCTCAAGCAAAATATATTTAGAGTATGTTAGGAAGAAATTAAGATAAAACCATTCTTTCATATTTTAATCCTTAGGGCCTCAACTTTCGATTAAAACTGAGCAATTTAAAATGTCATATTTAGTTCAGCATTCATATCAATGCATTTTCAAATACATTTCCTTTTTTTCTGTTCAATATATATAATTATGCTATAAAGAAGAACAGTGCTAACATATTTTTGTATTGTACATTGTATTATCAGCCAAAACCTCTGAAGAACATCCATATTACACATCTACTGTAACCCCTGACTCTTTTCCAGGCCTGATCAGGTATGTACCATTGTGAAATGTGGTGTGTGTGTGTGTGTGTGTGTGTATGTGAATACACACGTACATATATAGATTTGTTTTTATTTGCTTAATTCTAACATACAGTATATCACAGAATTGAGTACACTCCCTCACGTTTTGTAAATATTTAAGTACATCTTTTCATGTGACAACACTGAAGTAATGGCACTTGGCTACAATGTAAAGTATATATGTAAATGTGCTATCCCCTCAAAATAACAGGACACGTAGCCATTAATGTCACCACTACTCCCCCCCCCACCGCGCTTTCTTAATTTCAAGGGCTGGGGCTTCTGCCCAGCTGGGTATTGCATGAGAGAGTCCGAGCGAGTGCTGGGGCACACAAACATTTGCAGAGCACCAGAGTCAAGGCATGTAAGGTATGATGTTGGTGGCAGCCACGAGTCCTTTCTCTGCTCAGAAAGAGCTGGGGTGGAAACTCCACAGCCACTATGGAGAGATTTTAGAGGATCTGGGTGGAGCATTGCAGCAATGTTCCCTCCAAAGCCATAAGGGTGATTTCATAGTGTTTCTGGTTATGTGCAGAGTAAGTTTCTCTAGGAGGACAGAAGGGATAATAATAGGAAGAGGAGGTCTTCCTGAGCCCACATTTCTTGACTGGAGTGTCATTAATGGCATTTTCTCCCCAGGCTCAGCACCCCTTTGCACCTGCACTCTGTTCTGGATCCACCTGCCACCTGCATGGATGAGACCAGGTTGGCAGTCTCTAGTCATGCTCCACAGGACCAAATCACCTGCTCTGCTAAGAAGGCAAAGAAAGAAGCTAAAAGGTGGTTGAGCCACTNTCCAGAATGGGAAGTTGGTTGTTAGCTTCTATTTCCATAGTAAATTGTATTTTGGGGTGTAGGCTGTTGAGATGTGTGAGGAAGTTGTCCAGTTTTTCCTTCCCGTGTGGCCAAATTACAAAAGTGTCATCTGCATATCGATCATGCTTTGCTGGCACAAGCACAAAGCCGAAGGCACCAGCCTGAAGATGGCAAGTGGGGCCTTGTCAAAATGTCACCAAGATACTCTAAATCTTACATGGGAAAAGACCCGAATACACCAAAACCTGCATACCTGTACCCGTGAAAATCTACGAAAACAAACTATATATATATATATTATATATATATATAAATCATGCTAGCACTTGCAACAGTTCAAAAGTCAAATGTACATTTTACGTTCAATTAGAATTACACCATGTAATTTTGTCTGAAATTAAGACAAATGACATAATTTTAGACAAAAAATACTATTTGAAAAAATACCTGGGGGTTTCAATATCTTTCCAATTATTAAAAATAATCCCTAGAAATAGATCAGTCCTGGACTTTCCATATGGTTTTTTTTTACATGTTGTAATATGCGACATTACTTCAATGTGATACACATTCTGCTCCATTACTATTATCTGGTCCTTTTGCATTCCCAGGAACATTCAGATGACCTTCTTCTTTCAGTTTTGTTAATCTGAAATCTTCTCTAATTTTTTCCAACACATCTGGCTTGAAAATAACATCCAAAGCAGTCATGGCTAAAGCTTTAGCTGTTCTCAAAGCATAGAACTGAGCTTCTTCTGATCCTAGGATAATCAGATCCACAAAAGATAGAAATTTCATTTCAGTACAGGAACTATGTAGTGTCATTTCAAATCTGAAGACATGTTTAAAAACACTTTCTTTTTTAAAAGATTGCAATCTCAATTCTACTAGAAATAGAGTCTAAAGAACAGTCTTCTCTTACAGATGCAGATGTATCTACCAATGTAAAATCCACATTATTCAACTAAAAATGTATTTATTAATACATTTGCATTGAGTTGTATCCAGTATTTGTGAAAGGAACTCCACTCACAGGATGCTCTGGCTTGCATGAATGGCCAGGAGATTTGGGACAAATGTACGCATCTACTTGAACCCTTTAGTTGGCAAAAACCATCTTTCTCAGGTTCTTCCTTTGCTCCTCAACTTAGAAACCAAAATGTAACAAAGAGAATTGGCGTGGAAGTTTACCAATTCCACATACTCATTTTATGTCGTTTAGAGCCAGCTCTTGTGAAGCCAACAGTTCTTTTGCCAAGAGACTGAGAAGAAAATTAATCATTGTTATGCATAGAATATAACTATCAGTGCTTATGCAAATGTAGTCTGGATATAGGAACTTAGCATCAAAATTAGGCATTTATCTCTATCCCTTCCTTTAACATCCTGAAATACTGGCCTCATTGGAGAAGAAGGCTGCAGAGGTTAGTAAAGAGGCCATGCTTTTTTTGGTCTAGGAAGCCAACCATAGCTGGTTAGCTTCCTAGACCAAAAAATTGGTTTTGTTTTCATGTTTTCTTGTAGAGATGTGCATCCTTGTTTGCTTTAGATCCAAATACTGCATACCTCTTGTACTTACCACCCATCTTGTTCTACCCCTCTCAAAAGGCACTAGCTGCTACAACAGAATAATGTGATCACTCAAACTTGACTCCATGTGCATTTCCCCACATTATTATGACAGGTTTTTTTAAAAAAATGTGAAAGATATACCCACTTTTAATTACTAACCTGCAGCTGTTGTATACTGCTCAGTATGGTTCAATGCATCAGAACCAATGTAAAAATAGGAGTGAATCCCAGGAACCACGTAACTAACATTTCCAAAGTCAGTAGAACCTAAACAGATAAATATACCAAACAGTCTGTAAGGTGGAATGTTTTGGAATATACCAAACAGTCTGTAAGGTGGAATGTTATTGTATGGGTTAGCAAATAAAGGATTATTAAAGGGTACATCAAAAAAAATATTTAGTTCCCTTATATATCCTCTTCCACACATTAAGTACTACGGTGGATTTTGTTATACGTGGAATGTTAGGATTACCAAGGTTTTGTCCCTCCATTTTAAGAACTTGAGAAACAGAAACAACAAGGAAACAAGGATCCTTATTAAAAATTGGCACTTCCAATCCCTCATTACTGAATGTATGGCCAGCCTATCATACAGTATAAGCAAACAGTGAAATTAAGTTTGATCATCTTGGCAATCAACCTTAGGTAACACCTCCTTTGATAGAAAAAAAACAGCTTCCAAATGTTTAGGATAACCAGTTATTTCTGCTTTTTATCTATTCTTGTTTTTTTATTTTTTCCCATTTTTGTTGACTTTTTCTAGTTTAGGAATATCCTTGTCAGATCTCATTACAATCAGTGCATGTTTAAAAGGTCCCCACAGATTTTTGATAATACTGATGTCTTAGGACTATGTTTCTTGTAAAAATTTCATGGGAGGTTTCGGTGTATGTTTCAGTATTTCTGAAATATGCAACTACTTTCCAGCTTCTTTGCTAACTGTGGGATATTAGCTTTTAAGATATATACATATTTAGTTAAACCCATTCTCAACTGCACAGTATTTTCTGGGTCACCGGCTACCATACATCCTCTAAGCAGAATAAAGCCACACCCATGTTTAACAGATGCCAAAATGTTTCAAACTTATTGAGATTTTCTTTGGCATAATTTAGGAGATGACAAATGTGATGAGGCCAGAAAAATGGTATCTTTTGACAATTCTCCCATGCAGTTAATTGTTGTATAAATAATATACTTCAATGAATGAGGCAACTAGCCATGGGCTAACTTTGCAGCAGAAAGTTTGCTGTGATCTGTGGATTTTCTTTGGCAGATCTGACTAGTTCGAGAAACAAAGATTATTTTTGTATTTCAGACTTCAAGGTTCCATGTAACTTTATTTTTCACAGTTTAAATTGCCAGCTAAAAGAGTTTAAAGGGTTTTTGTCTTGTTTTTTTTTAAGCCTTCTTTGCTTCATTAAAGTAAACTATCTTCATTTTCAAATACTCATACAGCTGCTGAGGGAATTATAGTTGCTGAAAATAGAACAATAATCACCTGAGAGGTTAGATCAGTGATGGTGAACCTTTTTTGGCTCGCATGCCAAAAAAGGCAGGGGGAACGCAGGGGGGTCATGCACAGGCGTGTTACATCCATAATGCTTTGTGCACGACCCCAGTGCGCATGCAGGCACAACCAGCACTCCCCCCCCCCCCGTTTTTGGCATGCTTTATTCACCCTCCCCAGGCTCCAGAGCCTTTATAGGAGCCTGGGGAGGGTGAAAACAGCCTCCCTTCCCTGGAGGCCCTCAAGAGGCTTCAGGAGCTTCCCTGAAGCCTCCGGTGCGCGAAAAACTGGCCCTATGGACAAACTGGAAGTTTGGGAACGGACTTCCACTTTGCTCGTAAGGCCGGTTTTAGCCCTCCGGAGCCTTCAGGGAACCCTCCTTGAAGGCGAAAAATGGCCTCAAAAGCTGACAGGGCAACGCCTCATGTGCCCTGACAAATGGCTCTGCATGCCACCTGTGGCATGTGTGCCATAAGGTTCGCCATCACGGGGTTAGATGGTCAATGTCCATTTTGAGCTTTAAAATTTATAATAAAAAAATATAAAATTAAATGGATGGATGCCAAAACTTTTATACTTGTCATGTTCACTTTTAAAAGATTTTGAATCTGAAAACAACTGCACATACCATATTTTTCGGAGTATAAGACGCACTGGAGTATAAGACGCACCAAGGTTTTGAAGAGGTAAATTAAAAAAAAAAGTTTTTGTACTCTGCAGACCTCCCCAAAACACGTTTTTTGCAAAAACGGACTCGTTTTTTTTGTCAAAAAAAGGGCATGCATAGCCTTTAGGATGGCTTATAGAGTGCTCCTGGGGGCTGGGATGGGGCAAAATTGAGCAAAAATGGCCTGTTTTTCACTCATTTCTTCCCTTCTCAACCCCCAAGAGCACTCTGCAAGGCTCCTAAAGGGTATGTACAGCCATTTTGGTGAAGGGAGTTGGGTTTCAGGAGGCAAAAAATGCTGTATTCAGTGTATAAGATGCACCCAGATATCTTTTACTCCAAAAAATACGGTATATAGAAAGCAGAATCCAAATTTGCAAAAAGATATTGATGCTATTTACCCTACAGAGGTTTATGTCTACTTCTGTTCACTTATGTATTCATAGTATAGTTCTATTTGACCAAAGGGCCATGTCTAAAGAAGTTATATTCTTGAAGAATTGTTGGTGAAAGTGAAACAGGTGGCAAAATTAATTTGTTTATTGGAGAAAAATCAACAATTATATTTACTAATAACTGGATGCTCCTTATGGACTTTTTGCTGAAATAAAAAAGAAAAATGAAGTTGTGCTTTATGGCTTTGAATATTAGAAAAGATATTTTATGAAAAGAAAAAAAGTATGACGCAACTGTAGAGCCTAAAATATAAATGCATTTATAACCGCTGTGAGAAAGCTCAGGACTCATTCATAAGGTTTTCCTTTCTTCTGATTTATTTCTTTTTCTATGTCCTTTCTTATTCACTATTCTTATTTTGTTTCCTTTCTAATATTTGTATTGTTTCAAAATTTGTTTAAAATTCTTCAATAAAAATTATATTTAAAAAAGGGTTTTGAGGAGGAGTTGACGTCACGACGACACGACGTGCAATCTTGGAGCTCCAAGATCGCAGTCGATACTTTTGCCACTGTACAGTCCTTTGGGACCTAAACCGTCCCAAAGAGACGGTAACAGGGAAGAGTACGTCTTGCTGATTTCAGGGACACCGCAAAGTCCCTGATTGATCCAGGAGAATCTCTTTTTGTGGCGACAGAAGCGCAGCCATTGAAGCTGCTGAAACTGGGACAGCTCTGGAATGGGAGGAAAACGGAAAGAGAAAGTGTGTCCATCTGGTGAGGAAATTGTACTATTATAAGAGACTACCTCCAAAAAAATTAAAGCTAAATTAAATTTGAAAACAGAAGAGAACAAGCGGCGAAATTAAGCTACATTA